ATCTGTTGAAAATAGGAACTTGGCTACCAACCTGCTCCACAACCCCCCTTCACACAAAGCACGCCCGGACCAAACACCTAGATCAGATCCATTCCAGACGCGTGACGCGAATCCATCATCCCCGAGGGCCCAGAAACCGGCATCGGTCCCAACGACGGCCTCACCGCGGGCCCCCGAGAGTCCATGTGTTTCACGACGCACGATTCCTGTCTTACACAAGGCGGCTGTCAGTTCGAGTCATGTCAAACGTCAAACGACTCTCGCCCCGATCCGTGGCTCTCTGTCGCTCCGGCGCTACCGTCCCGCGGCCCGAATTCCACCGCGGGGCCTCGGGACGAATTTCGCCGGGGCCCTTGCGCAAAAAAAAGCCGCTCGGCCCTCGGGCCCGTAACGAACGGTACGCGCGCGTTTGGCTTCGTTGGAACGAATCCTCGCGCGTCGGACGACTCAATCGCGAGCGGAGGATCCGCGACATGCGCATTAATCGCTGGAGGCCGCGGCGCGTGTAATTAGTCGAACGATAATGTCGGACGACGGGGGCGATGCGCGACCGATAGCGTGCGTCGCGGACCCCCTGTAATTATTGATATGTGTAATTAAATACGAACGATACGGCGGGAATAGACGCGCGGAGCCTGGCCGTGATTAACGTTCAATTAGAGGAACAATGCCAGGTGGTGCGCGGAACGCGTGGGTGGTACCTGACGATGTCTTCCGGGGGACCTGGTGCCGCGGTCGCTCGAGGAAGTAGATGAGAATTTAATTGAAAATATGTGGAGATCGGGAGCAATGATGGGAATTGAGATGAGATGTAATGCGTTGATTGTGACGACGATGTAATACGATGTAATAACTCGTTCTTCCTGAATTTAAATAGAAGAACGACTGACGACGTTCTTCCAAAGCTAACGAAGTCTCCATACTCCCAACCATTTTCATTCCTCTCAGGAAGTTTGAATTTCTAAACGCGTTCCATACACGTAAGTAACATTCCCCTCCGCTATAAGCTCGCGTGACGACGGTTCACCCGATAAATTCTCAGTGCGGGAGTTAATTTTAAACGTTCAGGACTCCCAACCGCGATGACAACGCGAACCTTTCCCTACCGGCAGCCCTGGCACCCTCGCCAGTCTAACGATCGAGCACCACCTTCGAGATGAGCTCTCCATTTTACGACTCGCCTACATACGCGCGCGGGGTTCCCCGGACGAAATAGGCGGCTTTCGGTTGCCTCCTCGCCATTCGGGCCCCAAAGGTGGGCCCCTGCCTTTTATTTCTGGCCCCTCGCGGCCAGGCCGTCGCCGTCGTTTTCGCTCTTTTCTAAGTCAAGGCTCGCCCATTGGCGCAAGGGTAGTTGTTATGAAATTAGCATGAGCGATCGGGACCCAGGCTACGTAGGTAATCGCTTCGAAGGCACCACGTCGGGATTGGACAAGCTGGGACCGGATGCTTTGCACGATGCCGCCAATCGTGAACGCGAGACGGCACCATCGGTGCGTCCCATTGGCCTGCCACGATTTACGAGCCTTTTGCCCCGAACGTCTTTGCCCCATCGATGAAGAAGATCTTCCACTCTCTCGTTCATCCCCTCCCTCTGTTGCACCCCAGCTCCGTACGGCTTGCAATTAAGAGTTCCGATGTCTCAATGGAAGCTGCGCCGAGATTACGCTCGAGAGTCGAGCTATGCATTTCTGAACGGTCAACCCGTTCTTCTGTAAGTAATTGCATTCATTAGGGTATGTCACTCACGATGCTGCATCGAGAGACTCTTCTTAAGGGGGGAAGAAACCTCGCGTCAAGTGTTCGCCATCGAGGCAGATGAGTTCGATTAGATCGTTGGAGGGTAGTTTTTGGAGCATGCTTTATCCATTCGATGAGTTGTTTAGGAATTAGGTTCAAAGATTGCAGTCCTTCTGTTGTTACGTTAATGGGTTCAGCCTCTGGCAGTTCTGACTCTCGTTATGCCTTGATGCTCGATTCTTCTTGCGTCCATCTTCTTGCATTCTTCTTCCTCTGATTGCATAGCCATCGTTTGTTTGTCTCCTATCGTTAACTAAAATTCTTAAACGTACTACATACCTAATAGAAACATTCGTTCTACTTTCTCAACAGGAGTACCAGAAGAATAATCGTCCCGGAAATTCATGCACGCCCGAGACTCGACAAGGCAGTTTCTTACGCTCTCCTTATGCATGATCGCGACGTACCCCTGGCCAGGCCCAGAAAGAACGGCTTCTCATAAAACATGTCCTCAAGCAGTGCAGGTCGATAGTAATTACGCTACCTCGTACTCGACTTGTCGTCAGGCAAACCTCCTCGCATAAAGTGCCTCGCTAAAAATTACACACTGGTCACGCAATATTATCTTGACATGTAACCAGTAGATTATCGCAATCACCGCGACAAAAGCCTTCATCAGGCTCTGAAACACTATGCCGCGGTAATTCTAATTCTTGGTCATTTCTGTGCTTTCAACTTGTAGAGCTTTTATTTTACATTCCCAATCTTTCACTCGCTCTATGAAATGTCTTCATTACGAGGTCTTAGGGAGCCATCGTTAGCCAATCGTATCGCTACTCTCAGCTTAAGAGGAATGGGTCCTCGTAAAGCACGTCCTCGAGCAGGACAGATCGATAGTAATCACGCTATTTTGTAGTCTACTTGTCGTCAACTAATAGCTCGCATAAAGTACTTTACTGAAGTTACGTGCTAGTTATGCAACATTATGCTGACAGTAGTGAGAAAACTCCACTCTGGGTCTCTAATTCACGTACTCGATCGATAGACTAATGATTCATGTTACGATTCTTTGTTAAACACGGTGAAACAATGTTAAATAAGCCTAATTACATATAAAGATTGATAGATAGAGATAGAAGAGATAGAGAGGTTATTTTTTATATCACTCACGAGTGATGGACAGTAGTCAGCAGTGGTCCAGCAGGCGTCAGAAATGGTCAACCATGGTCAGACGGGACCAGGTGCCTTAATCGCACGAATTTTTAATAGTTGCAACCAGTAAAACTAAAGAATTTAATTATAAATCTTGAAATATTAACTCGATTAACAATCGAATCCTGAATTTACACACACGCACAACATATCTCGTTCCCAAAAATTCTCCGCCCGTTCTCCAAAAGACGCTGCGCACCGAAATTCAAGCGAAACTAGAGGCGCGGCGATTGCGCGGGGAAAATGGACGACTTCCGGGGCAGAGAGCCGGTCGAAATTAGCGAGAGGAACGCCAGGCGAGTATTATCGACGGTTGGTCAGGGCGAAGGGAAAGAAGGCGGTCCCGGGCAATAATATTTCGCGTTCCGCAATTTTTTGCCCGGCCGGGAGTTCCATTCGAGGCTCATCGGCGACTCGTGGTGCGCCGGTGGTTCCCCTGCCCCTCAAACCTCCACCTTCTGGTTCCGCCGTGGGTATTAATTCCGGGAGGGAAAGAGAAAAACGGAAAGCGAACAAGGAGCGACGGTTCTGCCGCGGTGGGTGGGGCGGGGCATGCAGGGGGCGATGGGGGTACGAGGCGAGGAACCAGGGAGAACAAAACGATGCAGAAGACCATCTATGAGATGAGAAAATAATAATAAAGTGGAAATGAGCGAGCCGGTCCATAAATTGCTCCGCTCCTTGTTAATGGTCTGGGGGCCCGGGGCGACCTCAGCTAAACGTGGCCCGGTCTGACCCGGCCTCCGTCTCTCTCTCCTTCACTCTCGTTTTCTCTTCGTTCCTCTCCTCTTCGTCTCCGGCCATGGTCAGAGGCCCGAGCGGAGGATCTGGTCCGACCCGTTCGAGACGCTCTTGGAAGGCTCATTTCTGTATTTAATGGACGTCCAGAGATGGCCACCGAGTCCCTGGGCTCCCGAGAGCCAGCGCAGAGGAACTAAAAGGGTCCGGAGGACACAAAGGATGCACGTCGAACCTTGGTACTGGCTGTGATTGGCGACCGGGCGTGGCTCCACCGACAGATATCCTCCGCTTCTCTTTAAAGGGGGTACACGCCGTTCGATTCGAGGACATTTATATTTTACGTTTTTATTTTATTTTATTTTTTTTTCATACGAAACGGTGCCGGCAAGAGTCCAAAAAACGTGGAGAATCGTGCGTTGGCAGGACTCTCCTTCTTCTCGAGTCTTTCCCCAAAGAGTTATTTAGGGATTATATAGACATGGTAATCGTAAAATTTTAGCACTTTCACTTGGGAGAGGACATTTAATTAACGAAACTTTATTTGTAATGAATAGTAAGTAGTGTAATTATTTAAAGTATTAAGGAGTACTTTTGAATGCCTAATATGGAGATTGCCTTTTCATATGTAATAGAATTTAATATAAAAGTGCAGTACTATATTTGAAACTGTAAAATGTAAATAATAATATGAACCTTCTTCTCATTTCAAATTGATTTACGTAGCGCTCAAGTTTCGAAAGTAGTACCGATATCTCCAGCAGAGGGCAGCAGCGATCAGAGGAATCCCAGTGTCATCTGGAAGAACGCTCTGGAAACGTACTACACTCGACGACAAGATGGCAATCCCGCGGGAACCGGCTATGGAGTTCTACGATACTTGCATGCAGTACAGAAGAAAACGTCCCGTTCTGTTTCCAGCAACTGATATTTGAACGAATAGTGTGAATATGTGTGTTCCTTACCGTTTTTGTAATTCAAAATTTGAAAGAACCAAAATGAGGTACACTTACGGACAGTGCAATCACGGTATGAAATATTTCGGTATCCTTAATAAAACGACAATGGTCGATTCATTTCCAGCTATCTACTTTTTCGGTTTAACTGCAATTGAGGAAGGAATACCTTGTTAATAAAGCATTTTTTACTGTGTCCACTATATTTAGATATATTTTTACCTAAACCGTAGGTTCATCATAATAGTAACTCAACAATATTAAACGGGCAAGGTTTATAGTTATGTGCAATTGCATACCTCTATTTAATCCATGGGAAACATACAATTTAATTATGTTTAGGATAGGTTAGGACATAGTTATGGTAGACATATTTCATAAAAAAATAGAAGTTTTATATGACATTTGCATACTTTTTTACAAGATTTCTATAAAAATCAAATACATATTGGCTAGCTTCTTTACACTTTTCCATTGTTTCGAAAAACTCTGATTCTGTAAAACGACCTGCGGTATGACAACATATGACATCTTTTTTTATACCATCAAATCCGTATGTGAATTCAGCTCTAGCGTCCTAAATGAAAAATATAACTCATGTTTTACTCTATATTAAGAATAAAATTTATCCAACATACCTCCAACTGAGCATTGTTTGGATCTAGTATAATATTTCCAGTATCTGTTTCTATCATGCAACTAACTGCTGCAAAAGTATATTTCATTGGAATAGCTGCGTTAATAAGTGCCAGGCAGGCTGCATTAATTGTGCAAGCTAACAACTGAAATATTAATTCAAATTTCCGAATTTAGAACTCACATATTTTTGTACTACAATATGTCATAAAGACAAACCATACCCCACCAGAATCTTCCAACTCCTGTACATTGATACAGATAGCAGTTGCAGGATGAAATGTAACAATCATAGCTGCCTCGCATGTTTCTTTTATGTACAATTCCGTCATCCTGTCATCCACCTCTTAAAGAGACAATCAAAGACTTTCATTATCGCGTTATTAATAAATTAACATCAGAGTTTTATTGAAAACTTTAAAACTTACTAGCTGGTCCTTTTATAGGCACATATGATACCTCAACAGCTGCTTTGTTGTAAACCATTTTTTGTGGTTTTGCTTCTATTGGTCCATAGATACCCACGACGACTGCTGTGTCTCCTAAAACATAGAAATTATGTATGAATAATGATAAAATGTATTCATAAGAGTTAAGGTTAACCTACCTTGCATCAACATTGCTGATCCATCAGGCATAGATAATTGATTCAATTCACAAAGTATTGGTCGTAATACGATGTCAGTTTTCGTAGCTTCTTCAGTCATGTTTTTTCTTTTGAATTTACGAATTTAATACCATAACACTATTTACCATCATTTGGCGGGATACCCATATTTTTGAGGTTATGATGCTACAAACAATGAAGCACATGTATCAGGAATTTATAGAAATCTACTTTACTCACCAGTAGACAGAAATTTCCTAGGAAATTCGAGCTTAGAAGATTACTTTTACAATAACAGATAGACTCGTTTAATTCATAAAAATAATTATTTTTAATGTTTAAATAATTTAATTATTTAAATAATTGAAACTTCTTACACATGACTCAGTAGGTACTCAGTGCTTACAGATCACTTCTTGATCTTCATAGATCACGTGCTCTTTAATGTCAGATATCGCAAAATGTAATCACAGTAGTTAGAAATTAAATATACATCTATTTTATTAATACTTCATAAATTCTATGTAATTAGAAGTAACCAGCTCCTTAGATATAGTACCGATTGTACCCGATGAGTCACAATAATTAAGCCTGTACCTGGATCTGTTTTACCAACAGTTATAAATCATTACTTTCATGGTAAAACAGATATCTTGATCACTCGTCTTCTTCGTCTTCCTCTTCCTCTTCTTCCACCATTTCTTCTTCTTCATCTCCTATAGACACAATTCGATTGAATGATTATAAAATAGATCAGAAATCTTCTTATCTAGGTTTGAAGATATTATTTTAGATACCCATTGGGATAACCGGTGGAGGAGGTAAGTGAGCAATGCGGTAGGCCTCTTCTTGTTCGAAGGTGGGATCCAGAACCTCCATGATCTCAGGACCTAATGCATACTGGTCTTGCACAGGTGGCATGGTCGGTGGACTATAGTTGTAAGCGTGGTACTTGTGGCCCCAGCCGATATACACGTTACCAAAACGCCTATAGGTCGACACCATTAAAGTACCATTAGCGTAATTTCCCGCGCATTAATTTCCCTTTAACGCGCCATAATTTCTCCTATCCTAGTCGACTTTCGATAACAAGTCCCAGACTCGCTTCTTCGGTATCGAGAAAATTTACATTCGACGACCACATTAATATTGCAGATACGTCTGCTTAATAGAAAATCATTATCGAATGGGGGTGCATGTACCTTCCACAGGCGAAGGCGAATGCTCCTGGCCAAGTGTTCGACCTAACTAGGGCCACTGCTAGATCTGGTAAGACGGTAGAGGACTGCGTGACTGTCCAGGGGATTATCGTGTCCACGATAGCATCTTCCGATAAGGGAGTTAGTAGGGGTGGTCCCACTTCTTTCTGGACTTCTGTCCTTTCCTCCTCCTCGTCCTCCAATTCTTCTTCTTCTCCGACTTCTTCCTAAATGCGTTGTGTATATTAGTAGATTGAAATGTAGGAAAGGTGGTTTGCTGTATTCTTGGTTTTCTAATATTTAATTCAACTAACGTCTTGGTCCTCCTTGGCTGGGTTCCACCAAACAGTTCGACCCTGTTTTAAGATGTATTGTGTGTGATGACACCAGTTTGTCATGGAAAGGTCCACCAGGTCCTTGACAGGTAGAGGATCGTAGTGCACATTTTCTGACAAAGTCCCACCTTTGCGTGTAATATAACAAGTGTATGTTGATTAGAGCCAAGTTAGAAAACCTCGAGAGCAATAATAGTGTCTCTTAATAATTTCAAATACAAACATTGTAGTACACTTGGGAACCCAAAGATGTCGCCACTGGCTACTCAAATGGAGTGGGAGTAGATTCCCAATGCTTTGAGTGGCCAGTTTTGACTTAGTTTGAACTTAACAACCCTACAAAATGTTCTATTTTTTGAAAATTATCTGTATTTCTAATACGTAGTATCTAATCTTGAATTCAATAAAATATAATTGCGTGTAATGGTTCTAGCTGTTAGAAACTCGATATTTACCGAGAACCTCAAGGAAGGTCGTGAAAAATTACCTTCTTCCGGCTCCTCTCCCATTTCTTCTTCTTCGTCCTCGCCGCCAAAAGTGAAAAAGCCAATCGGTGAAACGTGAGTAGCCGCGCTAATTCTGGCTATTTGGGCGCGGAGATAATTTTTTTCCGTGCCGGGAAACGGCGGGAACGTATGAATCTACGAGAAAAAACGGCTCGTTTGACGCGGTTTCCATGAAACAGCGCGATATCTCCCCACGTACCGCTGTTTCCAAATTTCCCGTGCACCGGCGGATAATCTGTCGCGCAATTAGTATCTGCTGCGGTGTAACTGTTGGAAGTTCGATCCATTTGTCCAAACCGGGCTCGTTGCATACAAAATACACCTGGAACAAAACCGATTTCTGGAAAAAACTCGCCTCGCGTTTCGCATCGCCTATTAAACCGACGTAGAGTGACTCTGTATTTTAGAATATGAAACGATTGGGAAGAAAATAGGAAAGCTTGCAATCCTGGTAGAAATCTAAATATCAGAATCTTTTAAATAATATTTAGTAACTGGTAACAGCTTGAAATATTTTTAACATGCACAGTTTAAAAAGTAAGTGTTCATTTTTGATGTTTTAGATTTAGATTATGGAATTGTTAATATATTTTCTAAAATTAATTAATACTAAAGAAGGATTGCAACGCAGAAAGATTAAAGGAAATTATACTAACTCCTCTTGTACCTTGGCATTCACGCCACTTCCGATCTTCTCTGAAGGCACTTCCGGTGGCGGCTTCCACGAAGGCGTAGGCAGTGGTGGAAAGACGAGTTTCAAACCCTCCTCATCTTTCTCCTCTTTCGTTTCTGTATCTTCCATTTCATCCTCCGCTGCTTCCCTTTCGACCGCTGCGGCCGCTTCTTCCGCGACTCTCGCTGCCTCTTCCGCTTTCGCTTGGTCCTCTTGTCGCTTCCTCTCCTCTTCTTCTGCTAATTTCTGCAACAATATTCAGACAGACTTTGTTTCAATAAATAGAAGGTAGATTAGAAGATAGACGATTCTTCCTGGGTTGAATTTACCTCTAATCTTTTGTCCAATTCTTCTTGTTGGAGGTCAGCCTCTACTACGTAGTAATTTTTGGGACTTCCCAAAATTTTTCCCCAGAATCTACGACACAAAGTGTGTGTAATGTAAACAGTAAAATATATTTTGTCATCAAGAATAGTTAGAGTGAATATTATTGGTCGTAATAATTGAAACCTAAGATTTGAGTATTTGAGCGAGAATAATTGTGAATTATAAATCGATATCAATTTACTTTATTAATAAACAGAAATCGTGTACCTTATGTTTTCTATAGGAGCTTCAGCCAACAGTTTTCGCAAAGACAAATTAAGCACCACCATTTCATCACGAGGCAAACCTATATTGGTTTGCTCAAAATAAAACAGGAGGTCCAGCATATTTGGTTTCTTCTTCCTCTTCCCTTCGTCTTCTTCCTCATCCTCGCCCAGTGTTTCTCCTTCGTTTTGATCGAGCTGCTGAACGGTCTGCAATTACAACAAAATTGATGTTCCCTAGTAAGCTTGAAAAATAACTTAAACAAAACTAATTCAACGATCGATCACCAGTTCATACCTTGATCAGGTTGATAACCTTTTTTGCATCTTCGTACTGAGTGGGTGGAACATACAGATCTCGAAGGTGGTTGGTTTGAGTCTTGAACCTCTCCTCTTTCACCTTCCTGCTGTACTCCTCGAAAATATCGACAGCGTTTCTTGGTTTCTCTGCTATTATCTTAGCCAACACTTCTGTCAAATGATCATACCTGAATTGTATTTGTAAATGAAACAATTGGAATGTTTACATTTTCAAAACAGTGCAAGAGTGGTTCACTTAAAAATTCTACTTCTTTTATCTACATTCCAAACGGTTATTTTTCCTAGAATAACTATAAATGCAGTGCTCCAACAACCCACTCTTCTACCGTTAAATAAACCAAAGGTTCCACGTTTCTTGAATTCCTGATTTAAAGAGCTTTAAGTGTAAACGTCAGAGGAGTTTGAAACGTTTAGTTTGGTATTTTGGGAAGGGGAGGAAATTATTTCGTTCGGGTACTTGTTGCCCTGTCGGTCTGTATTTCATTAAACCTCTCCATATAAGGTCAGTCTGACAAAAACGACTTTGAGAAGTTCTTTCGCGTTAGGCTATCCACGTTTGTCTCCTCTCACGTTTAATTAAATCAAGTATCGAGGCGGAGGGTTGCTGCTCCGAAACGTTTCTACCTCGATAACCGCGTTAACGATGCCTTCAAGTTACTGCAAATGATTTCCTAGTTCGCGAAGAGTTTCAGAGTTCTCCCGAAACCCTTTGGAAACATATCCTAAAATTAATTATCAATAACTACATAACGCATTACTTCTGTTTAAGTTCTTTACACGTATCTGCGTTATTATCTCTTTAGTATTTATGTTATTGCACCTTTCATATCATTGCCCTTCTGTCATGTATAATTATAATTTGAGTTTTTTAGTTACAGGCTTATAAACGTGTGTATTTAATCAAATTTGAGAACTTACAAACTATCACCCGATTCTGGACTGTGTTTCTGAAGGAACTTTTTAGCGCGTCGTATGTCGTGCTCGACACAAGGAACATCGTCGGGCGGCACCTCTTCAATGTTATAGCTGTACGCCATTTTCAGATCGACCTGTTTCCCCCATCGACTATAAACGTTTCTCGCGCCTCACTTTTCTCTGAAATTCGTGTTATTATTATCTGTCGATCGTAACCAACGTGCCGTCATCGTTTTATAACACGTATCGCTCGATAGCCGGACGCATAACGCCGATTCTCTTTTTTTTTTTTGTTCCTTTACAAGATAATCAGCGCCATTCACCCGTTCCGGTGGCATTCACCGTTTCGAAATCGTTATCTAATGACCCAATTACATTAACGAACCAAAAATGTCCCTAATCAGCTCTAAATTAATTAAACCTGCGGCGTAGATAGCGCTTCTCTGCTGATGTCTCGTTGATTTCTGCTTCCTGGACCGACGAGTATATTTAAAACTGGAGATAGCCAGCGCTCTACAATTCGTTACGTTAACGTTATTTCGAGACGCCATCGGACGCGATAGTTAACATTTCAATTGGCCGATGGTAGGCCTTTTTTAACGTGAAAACGAAATTTTCTCGTCGAATTACCGTGTTCCTATCTTGACTGTTATTATCACAATCCTATTAGCATTTTGATAAAGCTTCTAGTTCATGACCCACTTAGCGACTTCAATGGCATTTTTGAAACTACCTCTAGCTATTCCCGATTGCATAGTTTCAATTTAGAGTTTGATATTTCTCCACTTCTAGAGAGCTCATTAATTTTATTGGCTTCTAAGACGATATAATTTTAGATTTAAACCTTCGAGGAGAATATAGGGTAATGCGGTAATGAGTATAAAAAATGATGCTGGAATTAATTTTAGGTGCTTCCTTATTTTAATCTAATTCATATGTATTTTTACCTGCTATCAAACAATTCATACTCAATAGTGAAAGAGAAAATTTATTTCAAGTTTGTTGATCCGAAAGAGGCAAAGAGTGAACTGTGTCGTGAACATGAATGGCCATCTATCTCAATGGAATTAAATCGCACGCGCCGCTTTCTATCAGGCCGGATCCTGGAGCATGGTTATCGTCTATCGAGTGTCCTAAATAGAAACGATGCTTCTCGAGGTCACTAGCTGCTTCCTTTGACGCCCACCCCTTTCGATGCGCAACAGGACACGTGTCCTTCCTTTGGAAAAAAGTGACCTAACCGACTGATTAGGTACGATGCTTCCAGAACATGTTTCTCTTCGAAGTGATTTGTATAATAGATTCTGTATTTGTCGAAACACGGAAGGAATTTCGATTTAAATTCCGCTTTCTAATGTATTTTTAATACTCTAGCTTGAATTAGGTACGCAGGCACCTCGAGACTGAATTTAATGCCCGACAAAAGGGACTTTCCATTTCATTTTGCTAATTTATGCACACATGCTCAAAAATATTATTTCATTTAATCTAATTTAAACTCACATAATGAAATTAATTCTAGATTTAAGTTTAGAAGAACTTGAAGTATTATTTCTGAAGCTTTGAACGTAAAATTACATTTATTTAAATATTCCGCAGAATTCGATTTTCTACTCAACTCCTTTCGACACAGACTTCACGTAACATCAGACATCGATTTCACGTAAAATCAATTAACTCCCAAGAAATAGAAGATTTTTAAACTAATAGTTCAAATTAAACCAATCGAAAATAGACATAGCCGATTTCAAAAATGGTTTTGAAACATCTTCTGAGTCAGAAATTAGATGCTTCATCAAAATTTCAAACGAGCGAACTCTCAAAACAGGCACTCCACTAAAATATCTACTCGCTATTTAAATAAATCTAATGTTTCAACCGCTCCCAGAGAATTTCAGAACACGATCGCGTTTGTTTAGAGGTTCCCTTTTAGAAATGTTTGTTTATTTGGACATGACCAATTACTCTTGCCATGTATATACAATCTATCCGTACGACATCGGTGTTGTAAGCAGACTGGGAACTTTGTTTCGTAATGGAAAGATCGAAGCACGCGATGAGAGAATTGACAGAATTTTTCGTGACGTTAATTGCTTATAAAATATTTGACCAATCAGGTCGAGGTTTTTCGTTACGTGAAGCAACCAAAATGTTCACTCGTATTCCTCCTTTCTCGCAGAAAATGTAGCTTAAGCCTATCGCTCGAAGTATTTTTAACTTAAGTGCAGAATTCTCGTAAAAAATTGTTTATAGTTTGTTTAAGAAACAGTAAACGACACAACAGAAATAGAGCAGATTTGACGTAACGTTTTAAATTGGGGATATGGTAGAATTTTTTTCACAAATGTTTCTTGTGTTCTGTACTGCACGATTTTCAAAAATTTATAAAGCAATTAGGGCTACGTGTTTACAGTTTCGTATACTTGGTTATATTTCTACTTATGAGTCTCGGTTCAACGACCCGAATCCTTGCCTCGTTGCTTCGAAAGAGTGTTTAGAGAGGAAATATTCTTCTCGCTTTTAATTTTCTCGGGTCTAAAATAGTTTCGATTGGGCTTACAATCAAATGTTATGAACGTGGAATAATATTATCATTCGCGTGAGATAACGAGGTGCAGGTCCAGGACACGTACCATCACCAATTTTATTTTTCATTGTAGCTACGATGTAGCTTCTTCCAAGAAACCTTGAAGGAATATGAACAAATATTTTTGTTCGTCTTCCAATGTAGAATTCCGTTAATATGAAATTTATATAATTTGGTGGACTCCACGTAATATTACAAAATAAATACGCACATGCCAATTATAACATCCATAAGTTAAATTAAAATTAATTAACGAATGTTATGAGCGTCTTGTAAATATTGTTGGCGTCCTTGCAAAACATCCCGCACAAGCTTACTGATAGTGTAATCACAAAAAATTGGATTAAAACGAATTTTTAATATTATTGATATTCAGTCGACGAAAAAGTACCAGACAAATTTTTGATCCAGCATTTCGTATTTCACGGTCTGCCAATTAGTCTGACAAGATTGGAATCAATAATGCTCGAGCGTTATAGCATGAACAAAATCCCCGGCGATGGGGTAGCGATCGTCGAGCACCAATTAACTGAAAGCAATCGCCCGAGCGTGCATCGTTAATGCTAATCCGCCATCGGTGGCTTTGGGATCGCTGGAATTACGAAAAATCACGCCGCTATCAGTTTGTCGCACGTACAGCGTGATTTGTCATCCGGTGAATTCGTCAATGGGATCGACCGGGGGGATTGAAACCACGGCACGCGGCGTATTTTCGACGAACGAAAGGCTAATAACCTAGGATTCTGCAATTTCGCGTACCACATAACAGGTAATACTAGCTGGGACTTACTGTGCACGCGGTAGACATGTTACTAACAATTATCTATTGGATTCTGATTAGTATGGATTTGCAAGGCAACATACACGTGAATTTACCGATATTATCGCCATCGATACATCTGTGCGCCAATAGGCCAACATTTCGATGCTTCCATGTGTCAGGATTTCATTGATCAAATGTCGAAATACACTATTCAGTGATTTCTGGTATTTTTTAATGGACATTAATTTATTTTCGATGAAATAGAATGAAATTGTAGGAAAGAGGTTTGCTTCGTAATGGAATTTAAACCGTTTGGTCGTGGTTATTTTTCTTTCCTAGTGTCTAATATCAACCCACCAACACAATACGCCATTTGGAGTCCAAATACATAGTACCTCACCAACTAAATAAATATCAATATCTACTCCTGAATAGTTGTAAATATGTCACGGATAGTTTTCGGCGTGCATCCCCAAATACAAATATGGCTCCCCGTTATAGGATCGAGTCCGATACACGATTGATGACGAAACAGGATCGTTCGCGGCGCACCTGTGCCCGACGTCACTCTAATTACTTTGATTGCCACGATTTGGCAATGAGGCGTAATTAACAAAACGGGACGTCGATTAATAAAAGGCACGTGATGGCGCGGATCGAACGCGCCAGTCGATCTACCCGCTCGCGTTACACACCCTGTCGAAATCGAATCGCGCGTTTGACGCGTATTGTTCGGGCGACCACGCCACGCATTAATTAACAAACGGACGTTAACGGTCGCTTGCTAATCAGGTTCGCGGATTTTCCAGGACACTGGCAACGCCACGAAATAGAATTTTCACCTGACGTTCGAGGGAATGTTTTGGGTTGCTCTACTCTTTGTTTAAATTCGACGCGTAAGTTCGCACAATTTCGAAATTGTTTCAGTTATATTATTCGGTTATATTCCATAACGAATAGAACGCGTAAATGGACCACGTTTATATGTACACCAAACTCTCCACAACGCTGAATTTATTATGTTTGTCTGTCCATTTGTTTCAAGAGAATTCTATAAAACGTTACACCACAGTTTATAACACAGTACATTAATATTGATTTATCCCTGCGTTGTTCATTCTATATTACGTAGAACGCAACATCAATATTAAATTAAGAGAGCCATTTCAAAATTTCATATAAAAACTTCGGCAAGTGAATATAAATTCATATTTCCTGTTTTAATTATGTCGCACGTAATTGGAACGTTTGTGCTTTAACGAAAAACATCGAAATTTGTTTAAAATTCATCTTGCTTCCCTTTGTTGTTGTCTTGGTTCCCAACAGATATATCGACACTCCTAAATAATCGAATGGCGTCCTTCGCGTTAACGAATCGACCAAGATCAAACCGAGTGCGGCAGATTCGTTAATCGAGCCGCATTGGACGCAATTCGAGCGTAGAAGAGGAGCATCGGCGACTGCAATTTGCGGGGGCGTTTGAGTATGAATGAGTAACAAGTCCCCCCACCGTTCTGCTCTTCCCCCTACTCGTTTCAACTATCTCTTCTCTTCGGGTTCTCTACCCTCTCGTTGCTTTTCGTCCCTCTTTCCTCCTCGATCTTCCACTTCGGAGCCTTCTCTTCTTCTCTTCCTTCGGCTCGCTCTCTCCCCTCCCGCCGCGACCGAATGCAGCTCGTATCGGGGGTTCCCTCTTCGTGTTCCGCGCTTCTTTCGGTCAGTTTTCTCTCGTGTGTTGCACGCGCGCGTCCTTTCACGAGGACTTCGAGAATCAGTGAGTCGGTCGTTCGAGGACTTCGTCGTGAATCAAACGGGATACAGTAGAACTCTCGAGGATTCCCGCTGGACGGGGCACTGTCGTCCGTCACCATGCGCCGTCGATGTTCACGGTTAGTCTCTCTATGGATTTCATCCTTCCCTGTTCGACAATTCGCGGCGAAAGATCGATTTGAATCAATTAGTGTCCTATTGCTTTTTCTTTTTTATATAAGAGAAACTGGCTCCATATCACCATTATCCAATTGTAACTTTCATTCAACAACGAATGCCTGAAAATTTATTCTTTGATGACCTATCTTGAAATTTTGATCCAGCTAAGAATTATCGCTTGGGCTCCGGTCCGGACAGTGTCCTCCCTTGGAAGTTTTAGTATCGCGAAAATTAACACGATAAAAATGATGAGACAACTTGCTTCCAACGAGCATCCAACTATTCCTGGCGAGGCCATCGAGCCGAGATTCGAAGACACTTGGCGTGGAACTTAAAGTGGTTACGACGGAGCGCGAAATCGAGTTCTTGGGGTGGATGGTGCACCTCTCGCGACTCGAAACTACCTCGACAAGGGAGGAAAGAACGGGAAGAAAGAGAAGGGGTAGGGGGTGAATCGCGAAGAACAATTCGTCGGTGTGTTCATAGTTGTTAAAACGATTTACCATCGGACCGTGGAGTTCGTGGCTCCGTCGCCATTAAATCTTATCGTTAAAACTTCCAGCCACCCGCTTTGAGATTCTCCGCAGCGTCGTTCTAGGGACACGTTGGGTGCGCTAACTTTCCTCTCCTCACTTGTAACAAGGGAAGGGGCTCTTGTAATCGAGAGAGTTCCCATTTCGTAATCGGGAAAAGGTTTTCTCGTGTAGCGGAGAAAATGTCGAACACGCGAGGGCGGTCATGTTTTACGCAAACGAGCGACGGTAACTCAACGAGTGACTCCTGAGACTTAAAGGGGTATTTTTCTGCTCCAGAATAAGAAATTAGGGAATTTTTTTTCCCTAGAAAAATTTTGGATTAACGTTGCACTTAGTTAACAAGCTTTCAAAAATCGGAGTTCCCTTAGAAAAATAATTGATTCTCGTTCGCTTAGGCCCCTCCAGCTAGTGGTCGATTGTTTCGCGGTCGTTCTTCACTCTTTCTTTCTCTTTTCTTCTGATCACTTATTCCGTCGCACGGAATAATGTCGCTCGTTACTATTAAGGGGGCCATCCTCGGTGCGCGCTTTACATTATTCATCGTTCGCTTCCACGCGGTGCGAGCATCGAGCGATCGCCCGTAAATCGTCGGCTCACTTTTCATTAAGATGTCCGCGAGCGAGTGAATGAGCTGCTGAATGAATTTCCAGAACCCATTCCTCTTCCTGTCGGTTCTACCTCGTCCTTGAACGCTCGCGATGCACACTGGGTCAAGAATCGTTCGCATTCGGCGGTCCGATCGTATCGTGGCGCATGCATGGACTTCCGAAAACGTTGGGGAACTATACTTTTCGATACGTTGTAATTCACATTAATATAGAATGGGTTTAAGTCATCATTTTGCTGTCCTCGAATTTGTTTAAAAAATACAGAGCTCCAAATGTTGGGAGTTCTCACAAGTTGTTACGGGAACTGCCTTTACAAAAGAATTATTATCTCGATAATTATTGAACCTACAAACTTCAACTTCGTTTTCTTCTAATCCTAGAGAAATACCTCTCATTTTAAAACAATTCTTCATTGCACCACGACTGAACAATGCCTCAAAAATGAAAAAAATCAATCTGCTCGGAAATCTCGTATCTCCATAAGATTAGAATCCCTCAGAAATGATCAAGAATCGCCTCCGAAGCGTTTACGCAGCCGTTCCAAAGACGTTTTGGGTTAGTCAACAGCTACGCGGGACAACGCGGGTACTCAACCACCCGCGCCAACATCTGCACAAAGAAAAAAAAAAGAAACAGAGAACGAAAGGAAGTCAAACAGAGCGAGAATCAAATTCCCCGTAACGAGGAACGTCTGTTTCCAAAGAAAAAAAAAAAGAAAAAAAAAGAGTGCAAACGAAACGCAACAGCCAGCGAAAGAGGAAGAGCGCCGAGAAGGGGTGGGGGGAGAAATTGACGGTGACTTGAGTGTCAGAAGGCCGCAGGCTCGTGGTCCCTGACCGGTCGACGCAGCCTCCTCCCGGTTCCAGAGAATCGGAGTCACGTTCAGTCAGTGGCCGACTCCCGACCGCGAAGGTGGTGCGCGTTTGTTTCTTCGGTTCCCATAACCAGTCTCGAGAGGGGTTTTCCGGTTTCTCACACGTCAGGGGTCATCCTCAGCGGGAATGACGGCCGCCAGGAGCACGTGGTTCGTGAAAACTTTATTTATCTCACTGATCTCCTCCGACCACAGTAGAAAATATTTTTTTAACATTGATTTCTTAGACTTGTTGCTCGTGTACACTTCGTACGTTTTATCGTGTGTAGTTTCGAGTTTTTTGTCCTGTGGTGGTAGCTGGATTTTTTACTAAGAGAAATTAAGATCGATTTCGGTTTCGATCGAAATGACAGAATCGTTCGTCAGTTTGTTTACGATGAAACTTGCGGAACCTCTAAAAATAAACGCTCGACGCATTTTTATCTCCCTAATTATGACTTATCCGAGCGCGTTATGCCACATGTGTGCCGCACAATTGTGACATAACTACGGAGCTCCGTTTACCCGCTTCTTTCGCCGGTTCTTTAACTTTGGTCGTCTTGCTCCTTTTGTAAACATGTCGAGTAGGTGGAAGTGAACTCTGTTTTATGGAACTTAATGTTTAAGTACTTTAGTAAAAAACAGCCATTGTGTAATATTTATTTAATTACTTGTTCTATGCAATAGAAACTCTTTAACATTTACTCCCTTCAGTTTATACTGTCAACTTATCATTCCAAAAAGTAGAGATTTATGATGTCATTAAAAAGAAATTACATGGATATATATTCTTCCAAATGATTTTCTTACTCTTCTAAATTGTCTGACAGTTAACGCTCTAGAATATACAATTAAAAATTAGATACAAGTTTGGTGTATTCAACATCCTTTAAACACGAGTTGGTACACACTAAAGGAGTTAATTGTCGAACAAGGGTCTTTTAATTACGAAACGAAAACATTCGATTTAAGTCGCTGTTACAAAAGGAATAATGGCATGTTGAACAAAGTACTATTAAATACTTGTGTTTAAATCTTCATGGTGAAGGATTTTGTCCAAACGTTTGTAGTCACTCTTATTGATCAAAAATGTTTAACGTAGTATTTGGTTATACATCGTATCTCACTGATTTAAATCACAAGAAAAATAGTTATCAATAATGTACTTTTCTACTACGAATGATTTCCTAACAATTGCAATTCCAAAATAATTCATTAAGCGTCAGCATTCAACGGTCTTCAATGTCAGCGAATTAAAAGCAACTTAGCTCACGGTTTTCCGGAGCGAATCGGTTACGAGTTGAAAGCGCAAAGTAGGTTCACGTGTTTCCACTAAAATTTAATTGAACGCTAGGTGGATCCAGTTTCTCTGGGATCCTGTGAAAATTCACCGAAAAATCCCTCGGTCGGCTGCCTGGATTTTTACGATCCTCCTGACACACAATTCGCATACGACGAAGAGGGCAGACCCTCTGATCGTGTTCTTCGAGATGCCACGACATGTGCGTATCCCCCTCATAAGCGGGTCATTTGACCGGTCGCGGTAGATTCAGTGTTAATTAATGACGTGCCATAGAATTCGTCGAAAATAAAATCGACTTTCCCTTTCTATATTCGTGAATCACTTAGGGAATTTGTTGTTCGTCGTGTTATGAAACGTAACAGGAAGCTTGGTGTTTACATCCTTTCCTGGAAACGAAGCTCGAAGAACGAGTGGAAATCCAATTCCTAGAGCGAGTCACGTTTCTCGGAACCGCCGTTCGCCTTTTTTTTTTCGAGGAAAGATAGCCTGATACCGAGGGCAGCCTCGAATATTTGGTAGTTCGACAGGAAATTAATTTTCGCAGTACTCAAAATTAAACGTAGTTCCCCTCCTCACTTCACGCTTCTTCGTCGCTGAAATTATTCACTGTAATAAATTTACAAGGCAGTACAGATCACGAGCAAAATAAATTTATATAGTCGCCTTACTCACAAAAATTACTTCTTAGCTACTCTTAATGAGAGAACTCCCTCGGAAACGGTTCGATGATTAACCCTAAGTGCTTCGTGGCATTCAAGCTCGACCAAATTGATTCGAAAAGTGACAAATCGATTCCCCAAATAATAATCGTCACGGGTACGTGGCTGCGTAAATCATTCTTCTGGTCGATTATCGTGCTCAGGGCGCATTATCAAGACGTCCAGGTGTAATTGAGGTCCGGCAATATCTGGCCCCCACCTCGATAATAATCGTTTAATTGGGAGGTCGTAATTTCAGGAATGGTCCGAATAGAATCACGAGAGCGCGATACGTTTTCAATCCGATTTACGGTTATAACAGTACTCCACCTGCGGTTTATAAAGGGTTATTGTAGCGAGCTTTCAGATACCATTCTCCTGGCCGGCCCGCTGGCAGGACAATGGCTTATGCTAATTTCTACCTCTATGTAGATGTCGTCCTTCCGACTCTGTACACCGGCTACGCGTGTAATACGTCAGATTTAAAATTCGGACCGGGTCACGCTTGCGGCGAACACAAGATTAACCATCGAGCTTGCGGCGCACGAAACAAAATAATGGGAAAAAAAGGTGCCCGACATCGAGACGCGATTAATTTCACCGTAGACGCCCGCTGGATACTTTGGGCCACTTTCGTCGTGGTCCAGAATTTAGTTCGAAACAAAGAAGCTGCTGTTTAGACATTTTTGTTTGGGTTAGAATTTTTCGAGTACCTCGGTATTTGACGTATGTTCTTTATTTTCGAGCACTATTTATAGACTATTAGCAACAAAAGTTGTATAAGTAATAATTTGCGGTGCATATTAACCATTCATTGAAGGTAGTGCGTGTCCACATAGTTATGATCAAGGGTGTATATATTTATAGGACGGCTGTATGCTAAACTTAACCAAAATGTACTTATTCAATACGTAATATTAATATCTCCGGGTCAGCCCTTGATAGTCTAACCGATTGAAAGCCATTTAAAACGATTAACCGAGGCCGCGTTTCAACTTGGCGAGCGTCTGTCAGGGTTAATCGCGCTTCAAAGCGTTGAAGACCCATTCGTCCCTTTCTTTGCTCGATCTCGCGCGAGCTGTTTCTCGAACGGTCCCTGTCGACTCCTGTTTCCGCACGACAGGATGTCCGACAGCCGGAAAGGGTTAGCGTCCGTCGAAATAAATAACGGGCGTCGTGTCGAGAAACAAATGGACGTCTGCGAATACGCGTCGAGCCGGAATTCCCAAGTTGGGAAGAGCTCTCTCCGGGGTAACGGGCCTCGTATGTCGCAGACAATCCCGTGTTACGTGGGTTATTTTGGCTACCCCGGGGGGAGAGAGCTCTGTTATTTCTGTTCCATAAGTTAATACGCGCCAGCAGCCCTTGCGTGGCTTCGTTTTGCGTCTGTACCGCTTTAAATTATCACGGGTTTCCTCGACGAAATGGAAGGTTACTGGTTAGTGTTTATGTGATGAAATAATTGTCTTCGTATTGATCGAATACATTTTTTGGGACAGTAATACTATTAATGCATCAGCAAATCTTCAAAGAAAGCCTTTGAGAAAAATTCTGATGACTGAAATATCGCTGCCAAGTTTTTTCCTCTACGTAAATCGACTGTTTTTGGTATTCCGCGTAAGGAGATACAATGCAAAGTGTTCTAAAAGTGAACGTCTTGCGTAAGATATTTTTCGATTACGAACATCCTTTATTCAAGGAGATGCTCAAACGTTCCTATTTGCAAGGTATTATACGTGGATGAAAGTATGCAGTAGAATTGACGAAAGCATTCTTGTGCTTGAAGCTTTTGAGAAGCGTTCTTGAAACATCTTGCATCCATATTTTCCTATGCAGGGTATTCAAAAAGTTGGGCCATTCAGAACTAAGGCATCGAATGCACTTTGGGTATTCTTTAGAATGTTCAATATTTGATATTCTGGTAAAATTCTGATTCCTTACATCGCACGTTAAATTCCCTAGCTTGACAGGTCTTTTTTTATCGACCCTGCCTTCTATTGCTTCTCATTACCTTATCTTTTCACACATTTCGTAATGTAACTTATCTGTTCAATTAGCTCCATTAACACAGTTGCTACTAAGTACGTCTTATCTCACTTTTCCTGTCAGCGACTAATGTCTGTTATTCTCGCAGCACAGTTGTTTATTTATCCTGCAAAATGTTCACACTTTTCGTTAGCTTTTCGTTAGAATATTCACGTGACAAGAGCCCACATGCACGTAGGCACTCCGAATGGCAAAATTTGCTTGAAAGATTGAGAACCGCTTTTAGAGGGTAGACGATTAGCATGAATTAATAAGAAGGATGTTTCTTTGATGTAGCCGACTAAACGTCCCTTTGACTGTCACGTGTGCATTGCCTTTAATTGCCACCTATATCCTACGTGCATTGTGAACGAAACGAGCGTGAAGTATTCATTAACGTACTTCATCTCACCTCGTAATTAGATTTGAAACAACGAACTATTAGTGGGACTCGTTGGGGTTTGTAGAGACGTCGATTAATAATGGCCAGAAATTGATCGAATTTATTTATAGAGAATTCGGTATGTGGTTAAATTGATTGTTCTCTATTCTGTTCAGAAAAAATTAAAAAAGATAGCAGGAATATTACTTCAAAATTCTAATCATAAATTAAAATTCATTCTTCGCCCACGTACTCCACAAATTCACCCTCCCATTCGCACCACCAACACTTGCCAAATAATCTCAAGATTTAGCTCGACATCCTTCCTCCTTACGTTCATATTACCCTCCCATCCTCTAAACACCCCACATTCGACTCCCACCCCCTCGAACTCTCGATTAGAGATGTAATTTCCACCCTCCAAGTTTTATCCCTTAAAGCAAAGTGAATATTCCCAACTGATCTACAAGGTGGCTTAATTTAATCGCATTACATCGATGTTGAATGTAACCGAATTCGTAGGGTAGGGGTGACAAAGAGCAGCCCCGTGAATTAAGTATGGCGCGCGTTTCGGGTCCGCGAGCCCTGAACTTCCGTCGTTCGCGAAACAAACTCCAATATCTCTGGGGACCTGGCGCAGCCTCGGGGTCTTCTTCCTGAATAATTCGGGAAGCCCAGGTCAACGGTCGACGCTAAACTTTCCGCAGAATCTCTCTCTATCCACCACGCGTGCTCTTAGAAGAAAGGTCAGCTGAAAAGGACG